CCCATGTTAAGATGGTTGCCAACGATCCAGTGATGAAAAGTTACTGTTTACTGGATATATTATATTAATTGGTTATGTTTACGTCTTGCATCAAGTCATTTATGGGTAAGTGATCATAAGTAAAAGGGTACCCTCCTACACTGTCTCCACTACCTTCACACAAGTTGGGGGATGTCACGATTCGGGGAACCCAACACGCTGGCACACACACACACACACAAAAGGTGCCGTACCGGACCTTAGAGTGGCCGGGCTAAGCACACACAGAATAGTCAGGAGACAAGCCGAGTAAGGGAAACCAGAAGACAGAATAACGTGAAACAAGCCGAGGTCAAAGGGTAGGAGAAAGTCACAGAGTCAGATAAACAAGTCAGAGAGTACGTAACCAGAAACACAAGGTAAGTAGCAATACTAGAAAGCAAAGACCACAACAGGGCAGGGAGGAACAGGAAAGGTAAGTATTTAAACCATAAGGTTAATTCTAATTGGATAATTTCCAATCAGAATTAACAATCACACGTGGGAGATATCTAGACCTCCCACTGTGATTAAGGCACTGTGCCCTTAATGCCGGGTCAGGTGACTGACCCCGGCGTGTATAACCCTGGGCGGTCTCCCAGCGTGCAGCGTCATGTATGCTGCTGCTGGGGGACGTGGAGGGAACGGCGGGCGGCATCCGAGGCTGGAAGGATGTCGCTCGCCGGACCCACGTGGAGGAGGGGGCCGCGGACGGCTGGAGGGTGAGTACCGCGAGCAGAGTGCAGCCTCCCCTCGCAGCCGCCCGCGGGATCCCAACATTGCCCCCCCCCTCGAAGACCGCCCGGAGGGCGGGAAGCAGAAGGCTTCAAAGGAAAGCGGGCATGAAAGGAGCGGACCAAAGAGGGAGCGTGCACATCAGAGCTCGAAACCCAGGACCGCTCCTCAGGGCCGTACCCCTTCCAGTCCACCAAATACTGCAGCCGACCCCTAGAAACACGAGAGTCGAGAAGGGCAGCCACCTCGTACACGTCGTCAGAGACAGCGCGAGGGGAAACGGGCCGCCCGAGGGGACGAGAGAACCGGTTACACAGCAAGGGCTTCAAAAGCGAGACGTGAAACGTGTTCGGGACACGCATGGAAGGAGGCAGATCAAGGGAGTAGGAAACGGGGTTAACCCTACGTAACACCTTGAAGGGACCAAGAAACCTGGGGGCAAATTTCATCGAGGGAACCTTGAGACGGAGGTTCCTGGAGGACAACCATACCCTATCACCCGGAACATAAGAAGGGGCCGCAACCCTACGGCGATCAGCAAACTTTTTCTGAGCAGCTGCTGAACGAGACAGCGCAACATGGACCTGATCCCACGTCTTCCGCAAAGAGGCGAGGTGCTGGTCCAAGGCGGGCATTCCCTTGTCGGAGAACGCACCGGGAAGGACAGAAGGACGAAACCCATAAGCAACCTCAAAAGGACTTAAGCCAGTAGACGAATGAGACACCGTATTCCTGGCAAATTCAGCCCACGGAAGAAGGCGAGACCAGTCATCCTGGTGCGCATTAGTGAAGCAGCGCAAATACAATTCCACAGACTGATTAGCACGTTCGGCCGCACCATTAGATTGCGGGTGATAGGAGGAAGAGAACGACAAGGAGACCCCCATCTCAGCACAAAAGCCCCTCCAGAACCGAGAGACAAATTGAGGGCCCCTGTCAGATACGATATCCTGAGGTACCCCATGCAGGCGGAACACTTCTTTGGCAAACACCTGAGCTAACTGAACCGCAGAAGGCAGTTTCTTAAGCGGAATAAAGTGCGCCATCTTAGAGAACCTATCCGTCACAGTCAGTATCACAGTCTGACCATCAGAGAGAGGCAGGTCTACAATGAAATCCATGGATAAGTGGGTCCATGGTTTCTTGGGTATAGATAGAGGCATCAGAAAACCCTGGGGTTTCACATTAAGGGACTTACACTGCGTGCAGACCTGACAAGCCTGAACAAAATCCACTACGTCTCGCTTGAGTGAAGGCCACCAGAACTGTTGAAGGAGGCCCTTGTAGGTTTTGGTAACCCCCGGATGACCAGCAGTTTTGGCTGTGTGAAATAAAGTTAACAACTTTTTTCTGTCATTAGCTTCAACGTATAGTTTACCTTCCGGCGTCTCAGGGGGTGCCTGGGTTTGGTATGTCTTAATACTATCAAGGAAAGGTGAAGAAACAACCAAACGGGTAGCAGCTATTATCTGAGACGCAGGATTCAGGATTCGGGTTAACAAATTCTATTGGTTCATGCTGCCGAGATATAGCGTCAGCTTTGGCATTACGGCAACCAGGTCTATAGGTAATAACATATTGGAAGCGTGAGAGAAATAGAGACCATCTAGCCTGCCGGGCAGATAACCTTCTAGCATCAGCTATATAGGATAGGTTCTTATGATCTGTTATAACCATAATTTTGTGTCTAGAACCCTCTAATAAGTACCTCCATTCCTTAAAAGCTAACACAATAGCTAATAGTTCCCTGTTCCCAACATCGTAATTCTTCTCTGAATCAGACAACCTTTTAGAAAAATAACAACAGGGATGGAGGGGTTTGTTATACGACAACCTCTGTGACAGTACGGCTCCCACACCTGACTCTGAAGTGTCTACTTCCATAACAAAGGGAAGAGAAGGATCAGGGTGGTGCAGCACTGGAGCAGAGGCAAATGCCTTCTTGAGGGTTTCGAAGGCCTTAAGGGCTTCAGGAGTCCAAACCCTAGGGTGTAGACCTTTTTTTGTCAGCTTCGTTATAGGAGAGATAAGTGGTGAAAAGTTTTTTATAAATTTCCTATAATAGTTGGCAAATCCTATAAAACGCTGGATAGCCTTCAGTCCTTGGGGAAGTGGCCAGGACAGTATAGCTTCCAATTTAGCAGGATCCATACTGAAACCCTGTTCAGTAATGATATATCCTAGGAATTGCACAGAGGTCTGATCGAATAAACATTTTTCTAACTTACAGTAGAGTCCGTTCTGCAATAGCCTTTTGAGCACCATCCTAACATGGTTATGGTGTGACTTCAAATCAGGAGAATACACAAGTATGTCGTCAAGGTACACCACAGCACAGACATGCAATAGATCCTTAAGGGCATCATTTATGAGGTCCTGAAACACGGCAGGAGCATTACATAGTCCAAAAGGCATGACCAGATATTCTTAATGCCCACTGCGTGTGTTGAACGCTGTCTTCCACTCGTCATTCTCCTTTATACGGACAAGGTTATAAGCCCCCCTGAGGTCTAATTTGGTGAAGAATTTAGAACCTTTAACACGATCAAACAACTCAGTGATGAGGGGGATAGGGTAGGCGTTTTTAACCGTTATATTGTTTAGACCCCTGTAGTCTATACATGGCCTCAAATCGCCCTCCTTCTTTGCCACAAAAAAGAAACCAGCACCAGCAGGAGAGGAGGACCTTCTTATAAAACCTTTTCTTAGGGATTCCTGTATGTACTCCTCCATGATCTGGTTCTCCTTTTCAGAAAGAGGGTAGACCTTTTCCCTAGGAGGCATAGTACCCGGTAAGAGGTTTATGGCACAATCATACTCACGATGTGGAGGTAGCTTATCTGCCTCCTTCTTTTCAAAAACCAAGGCAAGGTCTGCATAAACAGAAGGAACAGAAACCGAGAGTGGTTTAGCTGTGGGCACGTTAAGTAAACAAACATGAGCCATACAGTCTCGTTGACAAGATTCCCCCCAGGAGAGTATATCTAAACAACCCCAATCAAGAACAGGGTTGTGTTTAACTAACCAGGGAAAACCCAGAACGATGGAGGCTGTAGGGGAGTCAATTATTTGGAAGGTTAATTTCTCCTTGTGCAAAACACCCACAGACATAACTATTTCCTGGGTTTCATGAGTCACCAGAGGTTTCTCCAGTGGTCTACCATCTATGGCCTCAACGGCCAAGGGTGTCTCCTTTCGGATCAAATTCAGGGCTGCGGTTTTGGCAAAGGTCTCATCCATAAGGTTGTCTGCCGCACCTGAATCGATCAGGGCTTTGGTTGTTATAGTGGTTTTATTGACCAAAAGAGAAACCGTAATAAATGGTCTGGAGATGGACATATGAGGGGACAAGGTCATAACACCCGAGGCCGACCCCTCTCTAGGCCTTATGTGCTGCAGTTTCCCTGTACTTTAGGGCAGGATTTACAGTGATGCCCCCTCTTCCCACAATAAAGGCATAAGCCCTCCTTTCTACGGTACGCTCTTTCGGCCTCAGTTAACCCCGTAGCACCCAACTGCATGGGTTCAGGGGATGGTTGCCTAGGAGCGGGTAACGCTAGCAGTGAAGTACTGGGTAGCGCAGGTAACACCCGTGTATCCAAACGTCTTTGGCTACGCCTCCCTCTAATACGGTTATCGATAAGAATCACATAGTCTATAACATCATCTAGAAGAGCAGGCAATTCCCTGGATGCTATTTCATCCAGTATATAAGCGGCCAGACCCTCCTGAAAGGCTGTAACGAGGGCGTCATTATTCCAAACCACTTCAGCTGCTAGAGTACGGAATTCGATAGTATAATCTGCTACAGATCTGTTACCCTGTCGGACCCTAAGCAGAGCCTTGCCAGCAGAAGCAACCCTACCGGGTTGATCAAACGTGCGTCTGAAAGCTGTTAGAAAATCTACAAATGACATAGGAGACGTATTTTCCCAAATGGGGTTGGCCCATGCTAAAGCTCTCCCGGACAAGTGGTTTATCAAAAAGGCAATTTTAGATCTGTCAGTGGGATAGGAACGTGGATTCATCACCAAATGGATGTCAATTTGGTTGAGGAAACCACGACACAATGCTGGGTCACCGCTGTAGCGCTGTGGCGGCGTCATGTGAACTACATGAGCGGGCACAGGTACTGGAGTGGGAATGGGTTCGGGCACAGTAGCAGCAGCCTCCTGAACAGCAGGTTGCAAGTGTGCAGTACGAGCCAGTATGGTTTGCAGAGCTTGAGCAAATTGATCCATACGGTGGTCCAAGCCATCCATTCTAGCCTCTTGATTAACTAGGAGCTGTGGTATGTCAGCAGGTTCCATTATGGCCCTGTTGTAATGTCACGATTCGGGGAACCCAACACGCTGGCACACACACACATACACAAAAGGTGCCGTACCGGACCTTAGAGTGGCCGGGCTAAGCACACACAGAATAGTCAGGAGACAAGCCGAGTAAGGGAAACCAGAAGACAGAATAACGTGAAACAAGCCGAGGTCAAAGGGTAGGAGAAAGTTACAGAGTCAGATAAACAAGCCAGAGAGTACGTGTAGCGGAACGCCAATAGTAAATCCACGAATTCCGCTGGTTCAGAAACAAATCCACAGTCAAGCGCTGAAACAACAAGGCAATATCCCCAACCTCCCAATAACCGGACGAGACACAGTTTTGGGAGTCAACTGAAATCCTTTTAATCGGCAGGACAATTTATACAAGTCCCCATGCAAGGGGTTTCCTGAGTCCCTCCCCAGGGGCACTCCCAGAGGGGACTACATGGGGGACTTACGCGACAACATATTTCTCCCATCAGGCACCGCTGCACGAGAGGGATCATCCTCCCAGAATGCACCGTTAAGGGGATTATCCCCTCGTGCAGCAGAACCGGCAATTCACACAAAAATCCATAACTGGTTAAATACACGGTGGATTTACACGAATGGACGTTCGGTAGATAGCTGGGGTCTGAGCGCATCATTCGTGAGATTACCGCTCAGATCCCAGCTAAAACAACCGAACGCCGCACAAAAAACACATTTCTTTTAAAACATACGAAAAGGACCGATTACTGCTAGTGAACACGATCCTGAAACTCCCGAACGTCCTGGAGGCTCAGCGGTGTTTGTGCCGTCGAATAACTATTGGTAGTACTATGCATTCGACAACCCAGTCCCGCTGAGGAACAAAGGATCCAAGATGGCCGACCGCCGCATGGTCGGTAGTCGAACGACGGCCACCCAGGAGAGCCTCTAATAACCGATTGCAACAATGTTGCAATCGGTTAACTAGCGCCACACGCCTCTAAGTGTGGGCTATTAGGGGGTATTGCGTTCGGTTCACGAACGGCTCTCCAAAGGGCCGTTCGTGAAACGAAAGGAAATTCCCATACAAAACCGCCATTTGCATTCGGCGGAAACAGCAGTACAGGCAATACAGAAAATACATTAAGCATATACATAAGTGTAGAGCGCATATCTCGCCAGACCTATTGGCAACCCTTAAAGGCACAGTCTCTAGTTATAGTCCAAGTGGCTAGGTTTGCCACAGTACGTAACCAGAAACACAAGGTAAGTAGCGTGTATAACCCTGGGCAGTCTCCCAGCGTGCAGCGTCATGTATGCTGCCGCTGGGGGACGTGGAGGGAACGGCGGGCGGCATCCGAGGCTGGAAGGATGCCGCTCGCCGGACCCACGTGGACGGCTGGAGGGTGAGTACCGCGAGCAGAGTGCAGCCTCCTCTCGCAGCCGCCCGCGGGATCCCGACAGGGGATCTGTCCTCTATTCTTGATATAAAATGTTTTCTCAATAAGCAATGTCCCTCTTGGGAGGAGGCCATGTTACAAACACCCCAAACAATCAAACTAAGGCACTTTGGGACACCCTCACCGCAAATCTATGTCATAATATTATACATTGTCACCTGCTGCCCAGCCTCATGCTCAGCCCCTTCATGTTATAAAACCAAAAACCGAGGTATGTTGAAAGTGAATGGTTCATTGTGCACTTACCTATGTAATGCTAATTAACTTCAAACATTCTATTTTTTTCTGTAATTTGTTATTCTTACCTCAATAAAACAGAGACTTATATAAAAAAATATAATAATAATCATATTAATAACTATGCATGATTGGGATGAATACCATATTATACTACATCAGGCAGAGTACTAAGCCAAGACTTCATAATTTCATAGCCAAAATGTTTCCACTATAAAAACAGTATATGGATATAACTAAATAAATGAACTATTATTAATTTATCATTAAGTCCTGCTGGCACGACTGTAGTTAGTTCATAGATCCAATATGTTTATCTGTTCCGAAGGCGCTTTCCATGATCTCCTCCTCAATTCAGGTACATGTTCTATTCCTATGAATTTAAGTAATTACAGTTGGTGTTTTCGTTCTACAAAATGCTTGGCCACTGGTTTATCTGTGCTTCTATCACGTACAGGACAGGCCTCTGGATACAGGACAGGCAGGCTCCTGAATACAGGGGAGGCCTCTGAATACAGAGCAGGCAGGGCAGGCCTCTGGATACATGGTACTCAGGACAAGAGGACCAGACCAACAACATAACATTAATGAACTGGCAAACAAGAAAGCATGAGGCTCAACAAAATAGGGAGAAGTTAATCACAAAGTAAGTCCAACTGGGAAGAGAGAGATCTCAGTCTAAATGCAGCAGCCTGGAATAGCACCACAGACAGGTAGTGGCACTATGAGGTACTGCACCAGACCGAGAATGAACCAATTAGTGACACTTATACATTCACAAAGTTGTGTCTCCGTATTTCCCACATATGCGAGTCCACATGGGCAAGTCGATTTATAAATCACAAAATTTGTCCTGCGTATTATGCTGTAACGGATCATATATTTTTTACATGAATGTGGTTGACTAAAAGACCGCCCCAGAGTCATATGCCCACAAGTTACACACACCAGGCACCTAACACAAGTGTGTTTTGATGTATTTCATTACTAAGCATATATCTGTATACAGGATCGGTACAAACCTGGAGATCCCTCAGGCTTTTCACCTTTTTGTAGGTGGTCTTCTAAATCTAGGTGACAATGTGTCATCATTTGTTAATACTCTCCATTTTTTTTTCACTGCAGTAGTCTGTTTTCTAGATGCAGAGTTATATGTGACAGGGAACACTAGATTATATTCTTTCTCCTGCCTTGGTTAATGTTTAACTTGAAAAGCCACCTATAGTGATTTATCTAGGCCCCCTTGTCTGTATCCCCTTTCCAGAAATCTCTTGGTCATCATTTGGAGTTGTTCTTCCATTTTTTCTTGATCAGGATTAATTTGGATGACTCGTAGATACTGTGCCTTTGGTAAAGACTTTAGGAGTGCCCTGGAGTGTGCACTTGTGGCATGCAGAGTTGTGTTACAGTCTGTTGGTTTGGTGTAGAGGCTGTATTGCACTTTTCCCTGTTGTACCAATATTTCCAAGTCTAAGTATTGTACTCTGGGAGTGCTGATAGCAGCCATCATTTAACTGGTGTTAATAAATTAATTTTACATTCCACAATTTCTTCTTCTATTTTGTACCATTCCTTGCCAGAATATCAGTATGTAGTTGATATAGCAAAAGTATCCTTTGATGTTTTCCTGATAGTTGGACAGAATATTGTGATGTTCAAACTGCTGATCACAGTGCTAATACTGTCATCAGAGTGATAAGTACACTAGTACTGCTTTGATATTTTTTGGGGGGTCAGATTTTTTATAGTTTTTTTAGTTCAAATCTAATATTTTTTCCCATTTTAATCACATTATGATTACTACCTCTTTAGTGAATCAGTGCATTTTATCTTACCCTGATCTTTTTTTTTTAACTTCTGTAGAAAATATTACACTTTTAGTGTTGATTGCAGCGTTTTATTCTGCAATCAGTCGTTAAGTGTCCTTTTTGGGTTTTTAGTGTAGGGTTTTGTGGGTAGAAGTGGAAATTTGGGAGGGTGGATTGATGGAGTATGTGTTTTACGCAGGTAGGAAAACAATAATTTTTCACATTAAAAAGTCACCATGGCCCATTATTTCACTGCGGGAAGACATACGCCATGCTAACTCATGCAGACGTCCTTTAACTCAGAAATGGAGTATGGTAGATAATCAGGATGGCAGCTAGATAAGTAGACATTCTTTCTTTCTTTGACATAAAGGTAAAAATCACAAAGTGATATGGCTCTTTTTCCCAATGTAGTCCTCACCCTTCAGATATACGGCTTTCCAAATTCACGATAAGGGGAGTCTTTATGGGAACTTGAGCATCGACGTTGTGCATAATGGAACGTGATGACGAGTTTTGCCTGGGCGGCTTCCTCAGATTCCTTGAATGGGTTATTACATTCCATTATGCACAACGTCGATGCTCAAGTTCCTGGAAGGACTCCCCTTTACACAGTATACTCCATACCGCTAGTGTTTATAGCGAATTTGGAAAGCCGTGTATCTAAAGGGTGAGGACTACGTTGGGACAAAGAGCCATATCACTTTGCGATTTTTACTTTTATGTGAGTTGCACTTTATATATTTTTACTATTGTGGGCATTAGCATCATTTGCACTTTAAAACTTTGTAATTATTTAAAGGCACAGCGCACCTTTTGTACTCGGTTTACTTAGAAAGAATATGTATAAGCTGTCCACACTTCATGATGAGAGCACAGTGCAAGTGTCAGTCTGCAGAAACAATGCACAAAGTGCATTGTTAACTACAACAAGCATATGGGAAGAGTAGATTAAGCTGATCAGTGTATTCAACCATATCTCGTTCATAAAAACCCAAAAAAGATGCCACATACCTTGTCCAGACTGTAGAATATAATTCCTATATACTGCACAGAAAACCAGCCACCCTGAAGCTTTTGCCCAATATTTTATTTAGCCAGTAACCTAATCCCTCGTCATTGGAATCTAAAGTAGTCCAAATATTTCATGGAAGACAATTCCCTAATAGAATCCCCCCACCCAAACCCACAAAAAGTCACCCCAGAAAAAAATTCAGAATCAGCTACAAAATAGGGATTAAGAGGGACTCCATATATTACTGGCCATCTCTTCCTGGCCTATGTGCATCTGAATGTGTTAAATTGTATCATACAGAGATAAACTTTTAATTCAGAATCTTCTGTATGTGACTCTTTATGATATTCTGGATTCCTGACATTGGCTTGTTTGTCTGATTACTCTCTGTCAGCTGCCTGTACAGACTTATTGGCTTATTTTACGGACTACTCTGATTTCTGGATCCCTTGACCTTGACCTGTCCCAGTTTATTTTACAATCAGCAATTAGAAAGTGGCTAGGCTAAACAACTCAACATATGCCATTTAAAATACTCTGAGTTGTCTACTTTAAAAAATTAGATTTCATAATTAAGGCAATTTCCTTTCTTGACCTGCCATACTGCCTTAAAGGTGAAATAGGCCCAGAAAATCACTTTGTCAAATTTCCAAGTTGAAAAGGGCATCTTATATTTTGGCCCTGTGACTTTCCGCCTAAAAATCTGGAAAGCTGCTACATGGGAGTACTGTTATATTCATGAGACAATGTTAGGTAAAAAAGGCTGAGGCTTTATTGCACTAACTCATATGAGGATTATAAAATGTCCTGTGGAAACAGAATTTATGTGTGTGAAAAAACACAACTGAAACTATAACCAGTAAATTGGGCCTGCATTTGTGATACAGTGGCTAGATCAAACAACTCTAAATATGCTATTCGGAATACTATGGGTTTCCTATGTTTGAATATTGTATGCCATAATGGTGGAAATGTTATTAACCAGACTGCCATAGTTTCTAAAAGGCAACATTGGTCCAGAAAATCAGTTAGTCAAATTTACAGGTATTGAATGGCCAATGCAATATTTTGCCAATATTTTGCCCTGCAACTTTCAAAAACTCCATAAAACCTGTACATGAGGGGTACTGTTGTACTTGTGAGACATTGCTGAACAAAAATATGAGTATTTTAGAGCAGGAAAATGTAAAATAAAGATAATATAATAAATGAAAGTGCAGTTTTTGTGTGAAAATGCAAAAAAACTAATTTGAACACTA